AAGTCCCCGAAGGGCGGCCTGAGGAGCGGGGAGGGGCGGGCGGAGGGGGATCGGAGGGAGAGCTGGGGGAAGGGCGGCCTGCCCCTTTGTCTGCAGCCGGGGCTGGGGGTCAGGCGGTGGAAGCGCGCTGCTCCCTCCATCTTGCTGGCCTGAGCGCTGAGCGCGCGCTTAGTAGGCCGAGCGTGGACTTGGTGCGGGGCGCTGAGTTGCTCCCTCGGGCACCTTTGCAGCGTCGAGCGGAGGAGCGGTCCTTTGGCTTCTACCACCCGCTCCCAGGTCGTAGGCCCCGGCCAGCCCTTCGGCTCCCAGGCCTTGGCCCGGGCCACCCCTGAGCCGTGCACCCCTAGACAGCTCTCCCGAAGGCCGCCTGGGCTGCTAGGCCCGCGGTCCGGGACTGGCCGCCTGGGGGACTCCAGGAGGGACCTGCCAGCCCCCTTCTCCAGACTCAGCTAGCTGGCGGGACAGCTCACTCTGTCCACGTGTGACAGCGACACGTGGCCCTCTCTAACGGGAGAGGGACTTCTGCCTCCAGTGGGCTATGGGAAAACTTGGCCAACTTCTTGGCCCACTTCTAGCAGGCTGACTTGCTCTTATTTTTCCTACTCTTCTTTTCCCCTCGTCCTGATTTCCTCACCGACTTGTTTTTCACCTTGTCTTGTGTGTATTTTTGTAAGCCACCTCAAACCTCTCTCTGGAAGGAGGCAGGTATAAATAAATTCGTAGGCAAGTAAATAGTTGCTTGTTCCCCTCCAGGGTTACCCACATCCTTGAAATCCAAATAACTGCCCACTGACCCCCTCCGCTTTCTGGGTTGCAAATGCCCTGAATCAACATGCTCACCTTTCTCCCCTCATCTTCAGCATGTTGGGCAGAAGAACAGGTGGTCAGGGTCAAAGGTGCCTACCTAGTTCCTGCACCAGCAAATCTCCCAGCTAGAGGGACCCAGACCAGGCGTACAACAAAAAAAGCCAAGGAAGGGTCCAGGAGCTGCCCAGAGGTAGAAGATGTTCACTCATTCTGTTTATTGAGAGCCTACGACAGCACCAGAGCTGGCCCGAACCCTCGGGGTACAGTGAACAGAGTTGCCTGCTCTCTGGAACAAGCCTGGGGCGTGCAGGCACTGAAAGACTTAGTAGGAGTGACCGGATGAAGGGGGGGGGGGCAGCGGAGTCTGGGAGCAGGTGGGCTGAGCGGCCTTCCTGAAGGCTGGGTGGCTGGACCCATGACAGGGCAGGTAGGGAGAGGCCGAGGCCTGAGGGAACCCAGAACCAGAAGAATTGGCTGATGTCAGAACGAGTCTTGGCCTCAGGAAGCCTGTTCCCAGAGGTCTGAGTACTTCCAGTTTCCTCCGGGACAGTCCCCCACGCTCCTTTGACCACAACAGCAATGCTCTGGGGTTGGGAGTTAGGATCAGCTTAATTTTTCTGGGCAGCTGACTCAAGCTTATTTCTAGGAGAGCAGACCAAAAGGGGCGTGAATGGTGCCATTGAGTGGATGGGTTAGCAGAGGTTCTACGAAGGGCATGGCAGTAAGGGGAGGGTGTTCTGCACGTCCAGCCCAGCGGGGCAAGTCGGGAGGGGATAGAGAGATGGGAAGAGAGCAGGCATTGGCTGGCCTGGTGTCCACACCAGGATATTTTTAAAGTAAGCCCTGTACTGATGACAACTGTACATGCGGAAATGCCCAGCCCGTGATCGTCTCGATGCATTTTCACAAGTGAACGGCTTTCTTTCCCAGCACCCAGGTGAAGACAGAACGTCTCTGGGCGGTCAGTGGCATGGTGGTAAAATGCAGTGCTCTGCGAGGCTGGCCCACATGGGCAGGTGTCCAGACCTGGAGTGTATCAGTTGTGCCCAGGAGTGGGGCTGGCTGAGCTAGGGGTGGGTGGTGGCATCGAGATCTGTTGGGGTGGGGCCAGCAGGTGGCGTGGTGGTTAAGGTACTGGACTCCCACATAGTGGACCACACAGTTCAAGTCCCAGACCCAGTGGTGGCTTGAAACTACACAGGGCATGTGCATATGCATGTCCAAAATCTAGAGAGACTGAAGGAGATGGGATTGTGGTGTGGCCATCCCCCGGCGAATGATTTTTCATTTTCCCCCTCTGTGGCGAACACATGCACCTATATGGCAAAATCCTAAATAAACCAAAAATCCTGTTGGAGGTGCTGTCTTGGTTTCTGTCTCTCACTTGTGGAAGAGACAAATGAGTAAACTTGTACAAAAAGAGAACATCTTCAGCC